AACTCGCTATGTAGACCAGGCTGGACTTGAATTCACAGAGATCTGCCTGCCTCTGCCTCCTGAGTGCTGGGATTAAAGGCGTGCACCACCACGCCGGGCTCACTTACAGTGTTTTTATATACATCATCGTTTGATCCTCACATTAGCCTTACAAAGTACCTGTTATTATCCTTAATTTACTGTGGAGGGACTCCAAGCCAAGAGTTAATGTAGGGCCCACACCATTGCTTAATAGGGGAGCAAAAGGCTGCCTTTTACTACAAGCTAACCCTGCAGAGACATGCCACACACCAAATCCCCCAAATCTTCATTAGGTCCCTTACCTAGGATCTGTCCTCTGGGGCAAAGGACACAGGGGAGGGGGCCTCGGTAGGTTAATTATTAACCCTTTGTACTTCTGGACACCACGGGGTCCACCCCAGGGTCCACCACACCTCCGGGAGGCAAAAGAACACCACCCAACTAGGGGCTGGTGAAGGTGGTGCCAGCAATGGTCATGGGGGTCTCACTGACACCCCCAGCCCTGGGCCGTTGGTTGCGACATGCTATTCCTTTCACTGCCCTCATGCTTTTATTTCTTTATCTCAGTGTGCAGATCCTCCGTGAGTGGCCCCTTGCTTGGAGAACCCAGGAGTCCCACCCGTGGGAACTCAAGCCCCCTTCTCCTCGAGCCCTCACCACGCTGCTTCGCTTCACCCCAGGTATCCTGCCAGGCTGCAGGCCTGGGGTACAATCCTGCATTTCCGAGGGACCTCTACCCTTGCAGGTATGTTTGGGGTATGGCCAATTCTAGGAGTTCCACAAGGAACTCTGAACAGGGAGGAGGGAAACCAGACTGAGAATCTAGTGACAGGAGGATCCTTCCCTCTTTTCACCGCTCCCTTCTGAAGCTAGAAGTAAACAGGAGGGATCCCAGCTAAGCTAGGGGAACAGTTTCTTTAGAACCCAACAGCGGCTGAATAGGCCCAACAAGCTAGGAGCTCTGCACACATCCCCTGTCCCTTATGTCTGCCTCCCAGGTCCGTCCAGAGTTGAGACCCCTGGTGGCCCCAGAGTGGGAAGAACCTCCCTGTTTGGCGCCTCAGGGGATGCTGGGTCGCATGCTGAAGCCTTTCCAAGCCAGTTTGAGTCCCGAAGGAGATGTGGAATTGGCACAGTACCTGGCAGGATGGAGGGAGCTACTTAGGTGAGTCGCCCCCCTTCCCAAAGCCAGTCTTCCTCTCCATGGGATTGCATTCCCTTTCTCAAGTCACTCCCCCGTCCCATCACCAAACAGGTTCCTAGCCCCCCTTGGCTCCATCTTTGCCTTCGCCACCAGCGAGGCCTTTATCAAGGTGACAGCCCTGGAGGCTCGCGTGCACGGCCCAGATGCAGCGCACTACCGGTCCCTGGCGACTATGGCTACGTGGGAGCAGCGGATGGGACTGCTGGAGCTGCGGGGCACGGCCCCCAGGGACTCAGCGCGGACCTCGGGCTCGCGGACGCTGCTCCTGCTGCACCGAGCGCTGCGCTGGTCCCAGCTCTGCCTCCACCGGGTAGCGACCGGGACGCTCGGAGGGCCAGAGGCGGGCGTGCAGTGCGGCGACGCCTACAGCACAGCCCTGGCCGCGCACCACCCCTGGCTCATTCGCCAGGCCGCCCGCCTAGCCATCCTCGCCCTACCGAGTCGCGACCGCTTGCTTCAGCTGGCCTGTCCAGGAACTAGAGAGGAGGATGCGCGGGTCGCTGTGGCCCGGGCAGCCGGCATCCTGGAGGATGTCTACAACCGCACCCAGGGCCTGCTGGCCGGCCGCGGGCTGCTTCAGCTGGCTTGAGGGCGGTGGGAGGCGGGGGGGCCGGGGGGGGCGCGGTACTGACCAGGAAGGCAGTGCAGTGGAGCGGGGGATCTACGCAGCCCGGCGTCGCATCCGCCCAGGTCAGGGTCCTCAGGGTCTTGGCGGACTGGGTAGCCTTCCTCCTCCGTGACGTCACCACAGCTCAGGCCCACCACCCCGGCAGAGAGGGGGATGGGGGTGGTTTGAGTTTAACCTTGTATCTGCAGCCCTAGAGGAAGGGAGGAAGCAATGGGGAATAAAGAATTCTTTAGCAGCTATCGACCTAGGGCCTTTGTGTGGTGACCGTAGGAGCTAAGAGGAAAAGATGTGGGAAGATGTGTCTTTTCTGTTCCCGGCATCTGGGAGACTCACATTCCCCATAGCCCGTTCCAGCCCCTCCCATGGCTTCAGTAGCCAGCCCTAAGCCAAGTCTCCAGCCCAGACCTGTTCTCCCCTGTTACACAGCCAATTCTTTCCACAGACACGGCAAACGCAACACATCCAAGGTGAGTCCCACCTTCTTCTGCAGAACTGAGTCTCTTGTGTTCTCAGACTTCACGAATAAACAGCATCCTTGCCCATCCACACTACTTAAACCTAAAACCTGTGCATCATGCCTCGGGCACTCGGCTTCACAAAATATGCTTATCAAAGGCTCTTTGGCCACTCCCTCAATAGTGAACAGGAAGTAGCTTGACCATTTCCTATACTATCTCCCAAATTACACCTCAAATCTACTTTCTTCTATACTGCAGAATTCTATCTGCACAACTAACTAACTACCTTTCCACTTGGATGACAACTAAGCATAGCAAACCTAACATGTTCAAACTCGGTTTCTAATATCTGCTCCTAAAATACTCCCTTCCTAGTCCTGGCAGCTTAGTAATTCCATTTTTCTACATCCTCAGACCAAAAGCTTTCTTATATTGTCTCTCTATCCATCTTTTCCCTTCCTTAAAATGTACTGTCACTAAAGCATTAAAAAAATGACCCTTTAAAATGTAGATAATAGGGGTTGAAGAGATGGCTCAGTCAGTAAAATATTTGAAGTGACAACCAGAGTTTGGATTCCCAGCGCCCACATAAAAGCAGATTGAGGGGCTGGAGAGATGACCCAGCAGTTAAGAGCACTGGCTACTTTTACAGAGGACCCGGGTTCAATTCCCAGCACCCACATGGCAGCTAACAATTGTCTGTAACTCCAGTTCCAGGGGAATCTGATGCCCTCTTCTGAC